ACTAGCTAAAACGTTCATAAAATTTTAATTTTAAAATAGACGTTTCTTTTTCTTTGCTTTCAAAAGAAGTTGCTGAAAATGACTTCCTTCCGCAGCGGTGCGGGAAATTTCACATAAATGGCTTATGACTCAAACACAAAGTGATACAAATTTACGTATTTACTACGACATTCAGAGATTTATTGCCACCTTATATAGAATCCTGAGATCATATTGGGTTATCTGGGATTATAAAGAATGTTAGTAGGTACAAATATTTAACATAAACATAAATAAATTTATAAATTTTTACGTTTATCAACTATTCTTACAATTCTTTGTCGGAAACATAAAACGTTTATATCTCAGAAAGAAAAGCTTTTCTTACCTATGTACTGATATTTTTCATTTTTAAAGTGAATAAAATGCTGTTAAAGGAATGGCGATGCGTTTCGAAAATGTCATAAAATATTTTTGTTATTTCACAAGGTATTTCAGATCAACCAGACCACATCATTTGTTAATGGCAAGTTCCTGAGATTATATGGAGACAAAAAAATTTTATATTAAAATATCGAAGTTACAATAATGTTTAAATGAGAAGTGTTTAATATTTACCAGTCATTGTTAAAAATTCACGCGCTTTAGCACGTCACATATTGATTTTTATATTCTTATCATATGAGAAACCTCAGAAATCTGCTGTTAATATGGTGATACAGTTAGTTTGAGACACCTTCTATATTTTACATTATTTTTTAATTTATTCTTTTAATGATAAAAGAAAACAAATTGGATTGACTTGCCAGTACGATGCGCAGCAGTGGAATTATTTACAAGTAGATTTGTAACATACAAATTACACCCCGATCATAAGAGCGTTTAAAATAATTATTTGAAAAATAATTATTACATTAAACTTTTACTTATTTTTTATGCAAATGCGTAATAAAAGAATTATATATTAATATCTAATAATCATAAATATTAAAAATTGCAAATTTTTTACTAAAGATTTTACAGTTTCTATGTGCGTTACATGACATAATATTTTATATACAATATTTTACAAATAACAGATAACACCTAAATGGTACTCATTCTAAAGTTGCATCGTCCTTTTTATTCTGAGCCTCCTTCTTTCAATCCTCTTTGTAGTTCTTCAAGGCACTCATACGCGTTCGTGATGCGAATACAAAAATAGCACGAAGTTTTAAACGGCACTGCCGACGTATATTTTATCATTCGGACAAAGTAAAAATCGAGTATCATCTTACAAATTACACTTTGCCGCGTTTGTAACAAATAACGATGGAAAGGGTGAGATTACAAACTGCAGGAAATAATAAGAAAAATATTATTGGAAAAGACAAACACGCGTTGATACGGAACGATCGGTCTTGTACGAGGTATCACCGTGCGA